CAAACTTATAGCCCATCCATCATCCACATCTTCTCCACTATCACCATGATCACTGCCATCACCATCATCATTGGCCTCATTCTCACTGTCGCTGTCGTCACTGTCAACAGTCATCTAAATCAGGCATTACATTTTTGGTGGTAACTCCAGTTACCCAGCTGTCACTGTCTCCCACTTCTACAATCCAGCTGTGAGAGCCTGAACTGTAACCATCAGAGCAAACACCTAATTCACTGTTCTTATTTTTTTTTTTCAGTGTCCAGCTGGTCACATCGTCCAACATGATTTCATTTCCGACAGTGTTTAGATCCAGAACAACAGGAGAATAGTGCACCATCGTCTTCATGCTGCTCCAGATGTGGAAGGCCAGGTTGCCCAGATGTTTGGCCTGGTCTATCAGAGTTCCTGGGCCCAGCTGCGGTTCGTCCAGCAGGGGGCAGCGCTGCACTCTCTCCACTGCAGCCTTGTACTGGAGCAGGAAGGAGACGTCTGCGGCTCTCAGCTGCTCCTCTGTGGCTCTGATGGTTTCTGACAGAGCTTCTATCTCTCTGCTCACAGCCTCCATCTTGTCCTTCATCTTCTGAATCTTCTGCTCCTCTTCCTCCCTCAGAGCCTTCAGCCGGGCCTCCTCTTCCTCCTCCAGAAACTGGTGCATCTTCTTAAACTCATCACAGATCTGCTTCTGTGCATCCTGAGCCTGATCCTTTATACGCTCTGTAATGGCCAAAAGATTGTTTTGAACGTCCTTAGTCTTCTCTAGGTGTTCCTTCAGAGGCAGCAGGGACTGGTCCAGCTCCTGTCTGAGCTCCTGTGCTGTTTCTACTATGGGCCTAAAGCGGTGGTCTTCATGAACTTTAGAGTCTCGGCACACCAGGCAGGCAGGCTGCTGGTCAGTCAGACAGAAGAGCCGAAGTTTCTCTGAGTGCAGTGGACACACATGTTCTTCTGGAGCCTTGTTCTCTCCCTGCTGTACATAGGCCTCACACAGGTTCCTCAAAGCCAGGTTCTGTGGAGGATCGCTCCTGGAGGATCTTCTCTTACAAACAGGACACTCCTTTGTGGGCTTCTCTCTCCACCAGCTCTTCAGACAGAGCTCACAGACGCTGTGGCTGCAGGACAAAAGCACAGGCCTCTTATAGATCTCCTGACAGATCGGACAGGACAGCTCCTCCTCTGATCGTGAAGACATTGTGAACGTCAAACCTGAAGCACACACATAATAACACACTTATTGTTCTGTCTCATGCACTCGTGTGCTGGAGCTGCAACGTCAAAGTTAAACTTACCTCAGCTGATGGCAGAGAGAGAAGTCTGTGCTGTTTGGCTCCCAGTGGAAAACTAAAGAGAAAGTAAAATGAAGGTTTATGTTTACACTGATATGACTTGGTTTAGTGGAGTTTGGACTTAATAAGTTATGAATTAACTCATAATAAAATATAATAAATATTTCTTCAAAAGTACATAGAGAAGACAATATTTTAAAGGCACACATTCATGTCCTCCACCTGCACTGTTTACTGGTCACTGTTTCCTACAAAAGATGTAAAAATAAATAAACAGACATCAAAACAATACGTAAACAATGTAATTTTTTCATTTCTATATTTTTTCATTTCATGAATTTGAGACCTCTATAATTTTATTTTAACTATTCACCAATTCATGAGTTTTTTTGTTTGTTTGTTTGTTTTCCACCTTCTGCCCATGAAAATTTCTTTAAACTGATAAAACATCTGAATCTCAAAAAGTAGAACAAGCAGAAATTTCAAATAACTTTCATCAGGTTAAAAAAAACTGTAAGTATGAAATGTTCCTCTCCTCATGATCCGGATGTGTGTTAGATTTGCAACAATGTACTCGAGTTTCCAGTGCAAAGCCCTTTTCAGACTGACCAAATGTTAACCCTATGTAAAGGCACGTTGGCGTGTGAATGAAGTTCTGCGGCGCGAATGGCGCAAATTGGGCAGCGCAAATCGCATGTTTTGACCAGCGCGAATAGGCAAAATGAGCTGTGCGAATTTATGAAACTGGCGTTGATGCGCGAATTCCCAAAAGGGAGGGGCTCACGAAATTCCCCAAAGTTGAAAATTTTTAACTTTCTGTGAATATTTGCATCACGTCAACCAATCAGGGGCCATGTTCTGACAGTGACGTATAAACTGAGACAGACGTGACCTTTGATTCAACATGGAGGAGACGCTCACTGTTCCCGTGGGAAACAAGGTGATATCATACGACACCAGCACGAGCCAGAACAGAGACGGAGTAAGCTCCACAGAGCAGGACCTACACCAGACTCTGTCCCCCTCTCCTTTATTCTGAACTGGGTCTCAGTCTCTGTCTGGTCCCGGTCTCAGTCTCAGTCCTGGTCAGCTATGCTGGACTTTTGAGCCACATACAGACTGAACCAGGACTGAACCAGGTCTAAACCAGGACTAAACCATGTCTAAACCAGATCTGAACCAGGACTAAATGAAGACTAAAACCGGTCTCAGTCCCTGTCTCAGTCCGGTCTGATCCCAGTCTGGTCAGATTTGTGGTCCAAATCCGCCATTTTTCCAAATGAAAACAGCAGATGCAGAGGACAATGCACATCCGCAGTTGATCCTTCTGGAGCAAATACAGCGAATACATCGGATTTACTTGCGCGACCAAATTCCCAAACTCAAGCGACCTGGACACACAAATGAAGCTAATGACTCAAAAAGTCAAGCAGCAAACTATGGGTGATTGACGCAATTTGTTTGCACCAGACGCGTGCACTCTGAACACGGCTGAAGAGTTTGTTTTCGTTAAGTGATATACAACTGACATCTACGTACTCCCTATTCTATTTGAGACTCGTGTTTCGCATATGTACTTTTGCCTTATATGTATATTCTCTGTACCAAGGTTTCATGTGTACACACACCCAGTCTACTCATTATCATAAACTATAAATACTGATGGTCTTTTGTCTGGGCCCCCGGGGCTGCTCGCGAAGGCATCCTGATATTATTAAACATCTTTCATGTAACTATTCAATTCTTATCAACTACATTCTGCTGATATCAAAAATCATCTAAAATATTAAGTCATTTTCAACTCTGGAAGGTAAGAGTCAATTATAATCAAAATGAACTTACCTCAGTTGATGGCAACAAGACAATAAATGGACTGTCAATGTAAATAATGGATTAGAAATTCTCTTGCAATGATCCTGTGAGGGTCTGACGGTCTGGAGAGATCAATATAGTGTGATCCAGTTCTGCAGCTATCCCGTCTCTGAAAGTACTTTCGATTATCTTCCTGTTTCAACTAAGTTACGCAAAAAAGGCGTAGTAAATGATTACTTAAAAATGATCTACTGTTTCCTTGTACACAGAGTAGTTTGTTTTGGCAGCAGTTGAGTATTTTCACTTTCTGTGATCTCTGGACTGACCCCAGTGTGCTCTACATTTAGGTGGTTTTTCACCTGTGACAAAATCCACTGTGAGGACTGTGTGCACTGGTGACAGAAGAAAAAAGTTTGTTGAACAACACAGAGACAGACCCAGGCTCAGCAGAGCAGGAGAAAACGTGTTCTGATGAAGAGAAGATGCATACTTTCTTTTCAGTGTCAATAAGATAAGACACTAGTCTGACAAGATTTTATGAATTTGGTCAGGTCGTCTGAGAAAGTTTTTGACTGTGTTTGGATCCATTACAACAGGAGAGTAGTGCACCATCGTCTTCATGCTGCTCCACATGTTGAAGACCAGGTTGCCCAGATGTTTGGCCTGGTCTATAAAGGGTGAAGTATGGTTCTATGTTGACTCAACGCGCACTGCCGTCACCGTGCCACAGTCATTTTTGATTTATGGATCTGCATTGAGGCCTATACTCAGCCAAGTAATTCACCGCCACAACACTAAGAGGCTAGAACATGTCTATTCATATAAACCTGTGTCTGTGTGTTCGACCTGCAGACGTAGAATTTCTGAAAAGTTTAACATGAACCATCTCCAACACGACAGAAACACAGAACAGACTCACCGTCAGCAGAACACCCCTCTGTCACAGAAAGGGGAACTCCACTGAGCTGTGTCCTTTTTAAATCCGGGCAGAAGCTGAACCACAAGGAGCAAGCTGTTTTTTGAGCGTTTTATGCAAGTTTACGCAAATGAGCTATGCGGTTTTAAGTTTTGTTCCTAAAATACACATCAAAATATGCGCAAAGTTGCATTACACACATTATTACTCAATGTATATTGAAAGAAAGGAAAGCGGAGTACAGGAAATGTCTGTAGAGTGGTGGTAGAGACGACCAATCACAGCCCTTAATGTCGGCGTCACTTTCCCTGGTGTCTGTGTCATTTAGAAAACAGACGTGTAGTCAGAAAATTTCAGAGGTGGGGGAGGTTAGGGGGTTCTCTGCATGGACGTGACTGTTACGACCCCGGTGGATCAAACATATTAAAGAGGACACAGGAGGCGCAAAGGTTACAAAAGTAAAAGTTGCATTTTTAATTTACTTTATAACGCTAAAACCCATCCTGTACCCAAAAACAAAGGCACAACTGAAAGGTGGACCTGGTGAGTGCCAAACAGAACTAAATGATGCGGCACGGGGCCAACCCCGTATAGAGCCGTAGAAGCTGGTGCCGACTAAAGGGGAAAAAAGACATCCCCAAACTAATCTTACCAAACAAAAGGTGAAAACAGGACAGCCGGTCCCACCAGGTCAAATACAAAAGGCTTACAGCAGCTAACAGACATGGCGACGAGCACTCGCCCAGGTGCGTGGAGGGCAAGCTGTGCGTAGCGACAGCGCAGGAGCAAGAGAGCGCGCCACAGACAGACATTTATACCTGAACCAGCCACGCCACAAAACATACATACAAATAAAAATACACGCAATGGGATGCACAAAGGGGTGGCAGCACGTAACAGTGACGATTTGACGCTGGACCGTAAAATGGCCTTTAGAGTTCCTGGGCCCAGCTGTGGTTCCTCCAGCAGGGGCAGCGCTGCACTCTCTC